TCCCCTTAGTGCAATACTGTTGATGATTGAGATGCTAACAGGAAGTTCCAGCTCAGCATTTGTTCCAAATGCTACAGTTCCTATGACTGCTTGTACCTGTTCAATCACAATGTAAGTAGAACTGTATTTAGTTACAGGCTGACCTTGCCTGTCAGAAATGTTATTTACAGGTTAAATCACTGTTCAATGGGTAGCAGCAGCAGCAGAACTAATGTTAGGGCAAAGAGGTTACAGTGAGAAAAAACTATGGCCTCAGCTCTCACTGAAGGGTCAGGACAGTCACTTCACACGTTTGCTCTCAAGGGTATTTTTAAAGTAAATTAATTCCTTGAGCAGACATGGTCTTGTCATCTCTCTCTGATGTAGACATCCCAAGGAAGCAGACTCTTACAAAATATTTGTAACTAGAGATGGAGCTGCAGAGTTCAGACCTTATCTTTCCCCAGCTCTTGGGTGGGATGTAGGCCCTTCAGTAATACAAAACGTCATATAAACTTTTAAAAGAACTGATAGAAGGTAATGGAACCTTAATATCCTGGAGCCTTTGACATACGTACTGGGGAGGTGCTGATGGATTTGTCTTGCAGCCTTTACTTGATTAGTTAAGTGTCTCTGTAACCCACACACCTCCTGGGTGTGGTGTTCTGTCCCATCTTGGGGCACCGATACCACTTAAAGAGAGAGATTAATGAGTCTGCTCTACAGCCTTAGCTAATAGCCATATGGCTTTTAGGTCATGCAGAGGCTCACACACTAAGCTCCAGAGCTGACAGGTTTGATCCCGCCCACCGCCGACTGGGGTCAGTTGGTGTTGCATCTCCTCTTGTGACACTTGCACATTTGTTAGCTCCGCCATGCTTGCCCAGAGACCTTTCCCCACCAAAAAGATAATTTGGCCTAAGAGAAGACACACTGGGCTGGAAAAACCCAGGAGACTATGGATTCTAGTTTCACTTCTGTTAAGTGCTGTTAATATTTCTGTGCAGTTCACTACCTTTTTTACTCATCAGTGTCTCATATCCCAACCCCAGGAGGCAGGCAACCATCAGTTTTCATGTTTTAAATAAGGTAACAGAAGAACTGCATACGGTCATTTGAGGCAAAACTGGGAATAGGACCCAGGTCTCTTCCAGACAAGTCTCCTCCACTTGGCCATACTGCCTTTGAAGCTAAATGTGCCAAATCATAGAATATCAGGGTTGGAAGGGACCTCAGGAGGTCATCCACTCCAACCCCCTGCTCAAAGCAGGACCAATCCCCAACTAAATCATCCCAGCCAGGGCTTTGTCAAGCCTGACCTTAAAAACTTCAAAGGAAGGAGATTCCACCACCTCCCTAGGTAACGCATTCCAGTGTTTCACCACCCTCCTAGTGAAAAAGTTTTTCTTAATATCCAACCTAAACCTCCCCCACTGCAACTTGAGACCATTACTCCTTGTTCTGTCATCTGCTACAACTGAGAACAGTCTTAGATCCATCCTCTTTGGAACCCCCTTTCAGGTAGTTGAAAGCAGCTATCAAATCCCCCCTCATTCTTCTCTTCCACAGACTAAACAATCTCAGTTCCCTCAGCCTCTCCTCATAAGTCATGTGTTCCAGTCCCCTAATCATTTTTGTTGCCCTCCGCTGGACGCTTTCCAATTTTTCCACATCCTTCTTGTAGTGTGGGGCCCAAAACTGGACACAGTACTCCAGATGAGGCCTCACCAATGTCAAATAGAGGGGAATGATCACATCCCTTGATCTGCTGGCAATGCCCCTACTTATACATCCCAAAATGCCATTGGCCTTCTTGGCAACAATGGCACACTGTTGACTCATATCCAGCTTCTATAGGTTTGGCTTACTGTATGTACCCACTGATCTAGCCACTAGATATCACTTTGCTCTTAGAACCAGGAATAGACCTCAGGAGTAGATACATAAATGCTTAAGACAATAGTGGAATATTGGGTAACAAATGGGCAAAGTGCTATGTCCCCTCTAGGGACTGTACCACACAGGACAGCCTACCTGTGCTACCAGTTGCTCTTCTAGTTGAAGTGGAAGCCACCTATCCTTTGGCTCTGAAAGTCCTGGGTTAAAATACTGCTGAACAACTATGTGGGAAAATAGTGTGTGAGCATGTAACTAAAGAGTACCATGAACATATGGGAAGATACAGGTTTGCACTGGTAATTTTAATTTCGGAAAGTCTTAATTTTGGAGTACTTGTCTTTGCAATCTTAACGTTCTTTTACATGGTTTTTGTGTATGTATGTGTCCTCCCCCACCCCAAATGTGATCATGGAATAGTTCTAATGGGAAACAGTATTATATTGCAGAAACAATCTGTGGAGAAGAGAATTTGGCTGTTGTGTTAATATTGTATTAGAACTGCATTTAATAAATTTATATTTCAAGAAAACAAGCCTAATTTTTGACGGTGTGTTATTAGCATTTTTGTGAGGGATTGGATGCCTCAGGGCACTACTAATGAGCTACAGAGCCTTTCATCTATAGGTCACCAGTTTGACCCCAGTCCAGCTCAGTAGAGTTTATAATTTTCCGTCTAAGGGATGATGATTAGTATCCCCTATTTGGGATGAGTTTGGTCCTCAGTTACAGATCCCACATCACAAACTCACCATGATGCTTGCATGAATTGACAGACTTGATAGAGAGACAAGGTGGAGGAGGAAGAGACATGCTTTTGAGCTACACAGAGCTCTTCTTCAGATCTGAATGACCTGATAGAATGTAATAACTGCATAGAGTTGAACTACCCCCCTCCTTTTACTCCTAGAGGAAGCTCCTCCCCCAGATCAGTATTCACACAGAATATGAGGGTTGGAAGGGACCTCAGAAGGTCATCTAGTCCAACCCCCTTCTCAAAGTAGGACCAATTGCCAATTTTTGGCCCAGATCTCTAAATGGCCCCCTCAAGGATTGAATTCACAACTCTGGGTTTAGCAAAGTGCTCGAACCACTGAGCTATCCTTCTTCTTATTGCCTCTTGCTCTAATGGCAATGCAGGAAGCTTGTCCACTAAATGCAGAGGACTTCAGGTACGCTTGTCAAGTCAATGCTTTTCACCAGCACTAAATCCACCTACTTTCATAAACTGCAGTGTATGGTCTATCTGCAAATTAGCTCATTAGGTAATTTGCATATAATTCAGTTTTGCCAGCTCTTGTGAGTCTCTCAGTAACTAGTGTATTTCTTAAACCTCAGCTCATGGAGGTATATGATTGAATGTATCAGCTTTCTTCTTTTTCTTTTTTTATTTAAAAAGTTAGGTTTCTAGCCCTCAAAGTTGTAGGAAAAAACCCTTAAAAAGATGTGTAACCTGAGACTCAAACTGGAAAGCAAGTAAATAGCACCCCAAAATTGTCTTTAAATGGTCAGGATTTTTAAGCGAATTGAGTGTTTTGGCAATGCTCTGTGGGGGTTTCAGTAGATGTTTTTCTGGTGCCTTTAGCAGCGCGTGGGGGATTGGTGCTGTGTGTTTTGGAGTGGGCACCAGCAGATATTTCTGGAGCCTTTTGCTTGTGGTGGTGTTCATGCATGCCTGGGTGTTATGGTGAGCTGGCAGTAGGGGGTGTTTAGCCTTGTCTGTGACGAGATTGTTGGGGTGTGTTGTCAAGGAGTCTTTAGTGCTAGGGTGGAGGGTTGGGGGTATCTGACTGTCTCATATGGGGGTGTGTGTGTAAGTGGTTTGTCACAGAGCTTTTTGTATTGCATTGAGGGTGTTGGTGAGAGTTCGGGGGTATCTGGCTGTGTGTGTGGGGCTGGGGGGAGTCTGGCCTGGTGGGATGTGGGTGTGCAGCCCTGTGTGAGGGTGTGTGTGGGGGAGCGGTTATCCTAGAGCCTTTAGTGGAGGTTAGGGGGTTGTCTGGCAGTGGGAATTGGGTTGTCCAACCTTGTGTGAGGGGGTGTTTGTATGTGGGGGGAGGGGTTGTCCTAGAGCCTTTAGTGGAGGGTTGGGGGGGGGTTGGCAGTGGGGATGGGGGTGTCCAGCCCTGTGTGATGTATGTGTGTGTGTGGGAAGGGGATTAGTGGAGAGTTGGGGAGAGGGTGTCTGGCAGAAGGTATTAGGGTCTCCAGCCCTGTGTGATGCGGGTGTGTGTGTGGGGTGGAAAGGGGTTTAGTGGAGAGTTGGGGAGAGGGTGTCTGGCAGTGAGGATGAGGGTGTGGGGGGAAAGGGGTTTAGTGGAGAGTTGGGGGAGGGGTCTGGCAGTGAGGATGGGGGTGTCCAGCCCTGTGTGATGAAGGTGGATGTGGGGGAAGGGGTTTAGTGGAGAGTTGGGGGAGGGGTCTGGCAGTGAGGATGGGGGTGTCCAGCCCTGTGTGATGAGGGTGTGTGTGTGTGGGGAAAAGGGGTTTAGTGGAGAGTTGGGGGAGGGGTCTGGCAGTGAGGATGGGGGTGTCCAGCTCTGTGTGATGAGGGTGGGTGTGGGGGAAGGGGTTAGTGGAGGGTTGGGGGAGGGGTCTGGCAGTGAGGATGGGGGTGTCCAGCCCTGTGTGATGAGGGTGTGTGTGTGGGGAAAAGGGGTTTAGTGGAGAGTCGGGGGAGGGGTCTGGCAGTGAGGATGGGGGTGTCCAGCCCTGTGTGATGAGGGTGTGTGTGTGTGGGGAAAAGGGGTTTAGTGGAGAGTTGGGGGAGGGGTCTGGCAGTGAGGATGGGGGTGTCCAGCTCTGTGTGATGGGGTGTGTGTGTGGGTAGGGGTTAGTGGAGGGTTGGGGGTGTCTGGCGGCGGGGGGCGCAGGCTGCTACTAGGTGCTTCTTAAGCCCGCACCCCCTGTCGGTGGGCGGGGCGTTCCCAGCCCCCCCGCACTAGTGGAGGCACGGGGCAGGTTCCCATGGGGATTCCCTGCGGGGGGAGGGGGGAGGTAGGGCTCCCCGCACGGGAGGAGGGGGCACACGGCTGCTCTAATGCTCCCCGCGCGCGCACGTCACCTCCCCTCCCGCGGTCGGCGACACGAGCGCAGCCCCCTTCCCTCCGCGCGTGTGGGAGGCGGGCGCGGGCAGTGCGCATGCTCCCGGTGCGCGGCGCCCCCGCTCGGCCGCCCTCGGCGCCGCTCGGCTATTTCCGCCTCTTTGTTTTAAACTCCGGCCGGAATTTTTTCCTTCTTTTGGGGGGAGAGTCGGAGGGAGTGGAGGCCCCCCCCGCGGGCGGACACGGCGCCCCGGCCCCTGCGCCGCCAGGTCAGTGCCGGGCCCCCTTCCCCCCGCGGCGGCCCTGCGGGGCTGCCCCCGCTCCAGCGGGCCGCGCCATGGCAAGCTGCCGAGGAGCAGCCCCGAGACCCCCGGCGCGGGGCGGGGGAGGGTCCGGCGCCCGCTCCCCCGGGAGTCGCCGCCGCCGCCGCCTCCCCCGTCTCCCCCAGCCTTTCGCCAGGGAGGGGGCGCCGGGAGGGGATCAGGGCCGGCCCCTCCGTCCCCCTAGCCTGGGGAGGGGGCGCTTTAACTTTCTGCGTCGGCGGCAGCAGCGGGGTTTGTCAAGGACGTCTGCACCCCTCCCCCCCGGCTGTGTCTGTCTGTTTGTCCGCTTCCCTGTCCCCCCCCGTGTGTGTCCATTCGTCCGTCCCCGCTGTGCCTGTCTGTCCGTCCCTTCCTCTGTCTGTCCGCTTCTACCAGCCCGCCCCCTCCCCCCCTTGGGCTGCGGTGTGGGTGTCTGTCTGTGCTTCTATCCCCCCCCCCCCGCTGTCTGTCCGTCCGTCCGTCCGTCCGTCCCTCTCCTGGCTTTGTATGGCAAGGGCTCTCCTCTCTGCAGCCCCCTTCTCCCAGGGTGCAGAGCCGCCTGGCATGTGGGGGAGCCCGCTCGGCCTGCCCTGGTAGTGCCTGGCCCCAGCTCCGTGTGTCCCACAAGCTTGGCAGAGACGCCCCTGCTGTGCAGTATCTCAGATGTGTCTGGGTCTGGTGTGGGGTGGGGGCTGGCGGAGTCTCCTTCTGAACCCCCCCCCCCCATCAAGGGTTGGTTTACGTTGCTAAGAAACCCCCCATCTTTTGAAAAATGTCTGTCCCTGCGTCCATCGAGAGAAGTAGGGTTAAACTGCGTGAGAAGTGACCTGAGCTATGGATAGCTATGGCTCTTAGTGGCATGAGGTGTGTGTAGCAATCTGGAATAGCTTATAGGTTTTAGGCTTGTGAAAAGCATCACCCGAAGGTGGTACCAATTGGTAAAATAATGGATCGGTTTTTTGCCAAAATTTTCTCACGGTCCTGATGTTACACAGTGAAGTTTGGTTGTTTTCAGCTGTGATGTTGTGTCTTCTCAGCAAGGTGCAATTTAATAGGAGCACTGCAGTGTCTTTTAGTCCACAAGTGATTAGTGTCACCTCAAACTGGCCTGTGAAGAAATGTAGTGTATCATGAACTTGATGCTATCGTGGTTAAAGGTCTTGGTACTTCCACCATATTACTATTTGAATGCCCTTTTACTAGTGCAAGTGGAACTCACTCTGAAAAAATTAAATACTTCTAATTTAACATAACTTTAATCCAGAGTTAGTGTAACTGTTTTTCTACACTCAGGGCCCTGGTTATCAATGTATCAAATCCAGTCTTTATAGAGTTTGCTTAATTATCACATTGTGCTCTGGAATTTTCCTTTAGAAAACTTTGATGTTCTCCAGGTTTATTACTGCTAAACTGTCCTACTTGTTGTTAGAAAAACAAATATCCTTTTAGAAAAATGCTTCACATCTATAGGCATGTAAACCTCAAGATGTAATGTATACTACAACTTACTTACATTGTTTTACAGTGTAAAACAAACAATCTAAAGTTTCAGATTATTAATTGGAATTCTGTGTAGTTCGAGGACTTAAGTACAACTTTTCTTAGTGCTAAGTGTTGTGTATGTTCCATATTGATGAGTATTGGGTCTTTTAACAATGAGAACTTCTCATTCCCTCAGTGACTGATTTAAATAAAAAGCTGTTTTAGCTAGTGATGTGCCTTGTAAAGGTTTGTTTGTAATTCATAAGATTTATTTGATAGGTTAGAAGTTTCCTTTCTAGTAATGGATGACTTTTATGCTTCATAGAAAGGCCTTGTTTAAATTTCTTAGCTGCCCACTAAAACATATTAATTAAAAGTGTATGTAAGGGAATACATTCTGTGTGGAACTGGAAGAAGTCAGTGATCATTTACTACAGTAGGATGGGGGACACCAATCTTTTTAAAGAGTGCCCTTCAGAAGCTACAGCAGAAAAGACTTATTGATTTAAATTTGGGTGCTGGTATAAAGATTGCATTTTTTTTCAAAGCCCTTATCAGACCAAAAATCTGTCATATTTTTTATTCATATGGACTGATCTAGCCAAATCTTATCATGTGAGTCTTGGTTGAATACTTGTTAAATTTTGTGTTGTCTTGAAGTTGATTGAGATTCGATAGCAATGCTAGCACAGTATAAATGCCTATCTAGATAAAACTAAACACCATTGTATGAAGGTTTTTTACTACTAGATAAACTCTGAACCAGAACCTCAAGGTACAGTACTATAATCATTAGTTCTGATCAACTTAATCCTGCATTTTCGTAGACTCATCCGACTAAGGCTATGTCTACACTACTGCGGTACGTCGACCTATGTTATGCAACTCCATCTATGTGAATAACATATCTGGAGTCGACATACCTTAGGTTGAGTTACCGGGGGGGTCTGTGGGAGAAAATCTCCCGTTGATTTACCTTACTCTGCTCTCTAGTCCACCACTGTACTCCACCCCCGATGAGAAATCTGCAGTCGATTTGGCGGGTCTTTACTAGACCCTCTAAATAGACCGCTGGTGGATTGATCTCAAAGCATCGATCCCCGCTGTTGTGTAGACCTGCCCAAACTGTGTCCACTAGATGTGAAACAGACTTATATTGTAAACAGGTAACCTTACTAAATATTACTTCTCCACTAACATACTTGAGTATTACATTTCTGCTTTAATGGACTTCAATATTGTGTTCCCAAATGGCTCCTTAAGCTAGGTGGTCTTTAGTTAACTGGAAAAAATGAACAAAATTGGTGGTCACTAAGAGCTGAAAAACTAGAATCTTTTTGAAAATTGGACTCTACAGTAAACCACCCATGGAATACATTAAAATAAATGTTTGCATGGAAACTCCAACTGGCTTATTGATGTTAGGAAGAAGTCACCTGTTGAATTGATGTGAACCTGTGTTTTGAAAACCATTCAAGTCTATAATCATCTGCTTCCCATCAACTGCATCTTTGAAGCTATAATATCTTAAAAACATGAAGTGGAGCAAGATGTCTTGCAGGAATTTGAGCACCAGCATTCTTTCATATTGGGCAGGGGGCCCAGTTGGTACATAGTTTGAAACATAAATGCTTTTAAGTATTTCTTAATAATTTGGAGCACATTGTGCTTGGTGATATAAGACTAACTTTAGCTCTTCCACCTCCGGGTGCTCTTGAATGTTTACTACTTTTTGACATCACTAATAAAAATGGTTGAATGTCATCTAGGGCTATGCAGTAGTGTTGGTATAAGTACACTGTCAATTTTGTCTTGTGCTAGTTTGCTCTAGCTTGGCTGTCCTTCAGTCTGATCAAAATAAGTTCAGATCTGGGCAGATGCTGTCAATGTCCAGAATCTGCTAGTTATGTGTTGCATTTTTATTAACAAAAGTTCTGTCTAAACTAAATTCATAGTAAAACTAAAGGCAAATGTTAAGCAATTAAATAAGGGTCAAGCTGATTGGTTTAAAGACTCTCTACTTGCTGCATTCATGTAGACTAGAGAGGATAAAAGAAAGTTGCTTTGCACCAAAAGCAATCCCAGCCGTTGTGAAATGCCACTGGCTTTTTGTTAAAGATGATGCCACTAGTCTGGTAGAAGAGATCCATACACTACACTCTTGTACTGCAGTGAAACAGTACAAATATTCAGCAGTTTAGGAACATTGCCATACTTAGATTCTCTCAAGAAAATATAATTCATATATTTCCTAATTAATATTCTACCTGTGTGTGTCAAGTTCACAGCATATATAGTAACAAGGGGGAAAACAAACTGGAGAAAAGTTTAACAAAACCCCTCATCTCAGAGGTTTAGAATTCTTCCAGGTATGTTACAGGGCTAAGTTTGTGGGGAGGAGGGAGTGGAACAGAACCAAACAATGGCTTGATAATTCAGACACTTTTTTTACTCTTAGAAAGGCTGTTGTTTGGTTGAGAGTGAGAGTTCTCTAACCTTTCTGAAGCAACTACAGAGACAGAACTATGTACTGTGCAAAATAGTGAAAATTCTCTTCAGAGGAAAATCAGAAAATTGTCAGTTCCTGAAGTGACTTGTCAGCCCTTGCCAGACAAAATAGGTTACTGTATTTGCTTTTTGAAAAAGGCCACCTCCTACTATAACCAAATCAGTTGTAGTGTTGCTGTGTATACCTGAACTAGTGCTAATGGTGCTTTTCCCCAGAGGTGCTTCTGATCAGGAACTGTGCTGATGTATGCAAACTCTGGAAATGTATCTACCTATGTATGTACTGCAATTAACTTGATTATGAAAAATGTTAAATCATATAGTAAGACCCCTTGTACTGTCAGTACAGTGCATTTGTATTGTTTTGATGAGGGTATGAAGCATTTGACAATGGAATGCAGCCTTCCCATTTGTTTTCTGAGAGTTTTATTAATGAAGATATTCTCAAATACATAATTTTTAAACATTTATAGAAGATTAATTTGAAAAGTGGATTTGCCGCAAGAGAATAGTTTACTTTAAGGAAACCCCAAGTAGCAGTTCCACATCTTTGTACTTTTCATCATTATAGTCTGTGTGTGTTTTAAAAGCCCTCTCAGCTGAAAGTTCCTTCCATATTTCTTTCAACTACCTCAAAATCATTATTTTTCATCTCGCTCTAGAGTGACAGGAAGTGAATTTATGATATCCCCATGGACATGCATTTGAGCCGCTTTTGACAGATAACTTTATGATCCTTTCATATTCTAACCTTGTGACTGACAGTAACTTAAAATGTCCCAAAGTTTTAAGATTAAAACTTGTAATTCAGTGGCAATAACTTCCAATAGTATCAAATGAACTTGGGGATAATTGTCTACACTTCACAAATAGCATAGCTTTGTCTTGGCTTCTGTTAAGATGGGAAACATTTATTCCTTAATACACACCTGATGCTGATATGCAGTAGCTGATTAATTATGAAAACAAGTTTTTTCAGCTAGCTAAAAGTGAATATCATTGAATTGCTGGCTTGCAAATGATTATCTTGTCGACAAACCTCTCAATTTAACCTACACATGAATAATTTTTCACCCCTTATTCTTATATCCAGATAGTCAATGTGTGACACTTCTTCTGTATCTTCAATAGAACATATATCCATTGAAGTAGTAGTGGATGTATTATAAATCTTAGGTGAATTATGACTGTAATTCAAAATGAAAAAAGACCTAGCCCAATAGACTCTCTCTGAGAGATTCTCTAACAGCGTGCACTCAAAAACATAATCTACCCATGTACAAATATAAACCTCAACCTATTTAGAACAATATGTAAACCCAGCCGGTGTCCCCAGATTGCACAGCTTTCGTATGAAATGTACATTCTTGTACAATGCTGTTTTCATTTTGTCAACTGAAGGAACAACTTGAAGTTAGCTAGTTCTCTTGTACTTTCAAGTATTTTATCTAGAAAGCTATGGTTCACTTCTGCTGATAGTGTTTTCTAATATGTGGGAGTCATTTATTGGTTTAAGTACATAGATTGTCATAATTGAAGCTATTAGTAAATTGATAACTAAGTTGAAGTGCATTGTATTGCCAAAATAATTCTATATGTGTTAATGTATTAGACAAGGCATTTTTTGTGGTGTAATCTGTGTGGATTTGATTTAAATCAAATTGATTTAAATCACTAGTCAGGAAGACTTGATTTAATCATAGATTTCTACATAAAAGTGCATTCTTGTTGGTTGTTATAACCTTAAAACATATTCTTCACAACTCAGAAATAGATGTAGGTTTCATTTTTAGAAGGTACACACTATATATTTTTAAAGTGATTTATTTTGAAAACTTTTCAGATTAGTTTTACAGCTATATCAGAAAATGAATGATTGTTTGATTACATCATTTACCAAGGGTAATTGAAGCAGATATTTATGAAGTAATTGGGAGGTGAACTCTCTCCAATATTTGGAGGATTTTCTTGCCGTGCTGTACTAGGAGGAGAACATCACCAGACAGACATTTAAATTGTTTTAGTTAACTAAAACAACAATGTTATGTATTCTGGATCTTTTTCTTCAACAGCAAACGTATAATTTTTTTAACAAAACAGGCATACGAATTTTTGAATTTAGTTAAACATTCAAGTTTTTTAAAATCAGGTTTGTTTGTGTTTAAAATTGATTTTAACTAAAATAGTTAAATGAAATCTTAAAAAAAAAAAATTAAATTGACTATATCAGCCAGGTCAACATGAGAAACTTAAAATATTGGCTCCTGCAACTAACTCAGTTGTCTTCACCTTCATTTTCCTTTTTGTTCATAATCTGGAAAAGAAAAACAAGCTTTCCTGCTTTTTCAGGTCCCAAACAATTTCTCAATTTGGAATGAATTAGTCCAAAGGAAGAAAATGTTCTTTCTACACCGGTGGAAGAAGCTACTGTTAAAAGTGAGTTTATCACTTCAATAGTCTCTGAATCCAAGTGCTTAAGTGACTTCCACCAGTTCACTGGTGTGACTTTCTTTAAAACATCATCAGCAAACATATATTTCTCGAACGGTTCACCCTTAGCTCTGAAGTTTATTATAGTTGGCATTATGAAGGGATGATTGCTGGATGTCCATGTCCTAGCCAACTCCTCTTCAGCAGTTAAGGTTTGACCCTGGTACCAAGTATTGAGAATATTTGCAAGAAAATGAGCTGGAGATAGTGCTTGTCCCATTCGGTTTTTTTAATGCTTGTAATTTAACTCTGTCATTGCATATTTCTCTTTTTAAGATCTCACTCAGTTCCTTCAAAATTTCAACAGTGTCAGCAATAAAACAGCTATTTCCGTGCTTTTTGTTCAAGGCTACAGAAATAGGCTTCAGGGTACTCAGCATGTGTTCTACATTTCTCTTAAGCCCAATGTTGAGATCTTTGGCTATGACAGTGCCATCTATTTTTTCACGATTTTGTTCACAAACTGTCATGAGATTAGGCCAGTTCTTGATATAGTGCTCAAAACTGTCCACTACTGAGTTCATTGCACGTCTTGTGGGAGAGTTGGCTTGGTTCCTCCCACTTTTTTCAGAGCAGCTGCTGCAAAGTGGTTGTTACGGGAAGTACTTTGCAGTTTCAACAACATTAGCCTTTATTTCTGGAACACTGAAGTCTGTGGCTAGGAGGTGCATCAAATGAGCACTGCGACCATATATTATTAGCTTGGGACTCTCTTCACTCTCCTAAATAATTTCTTCTCTGATACATTTGCAGAATTGTCTGTGACCAAGCGGCGTACTAGACATTTGAATTTTTTTTCAGTTTGTTATAGCTTTTACTGCTGCTACTTGTAAATATTCTGCTGTGTGTGCATTTCCTGATGTATCAGTTGTTTCTGTAAGGAAGACATTCCCTTCTTCTGTTGTCACACAAGCACATACAACAGGATCATTGTGGACATTGCTCCACCCATCAAGACTCAGGTTAACAATTTCATCCTCTAGACCTTTTGCACACTGCTCAGTTTCTCTTTCATACACTTTATCCAGCAATTTGCCTGCAATATCTGCTCTGTTGGGTGGACTGTATCCTGGTCTTAATGACTGAACCATGTTAATGAAGTGTGGGTTCTCAATCATACAAAAAGGAGAGTTTATTGCATAAACAAACCGGGCAATTTTTTCATCAATTAACTCTTTTTGTAATCTGCTGGGTTCTTATCACAAACTTATCTATGGTTGTTTTTGGATGATGGAGTTTTTTTTTCGTCTTTGCTACAGGTGATATATTGTGGCTATGTGACATACATGATGTGACTGAAACATTATCCCTGTCAGATAACTCTGAAACTATAGAAAATGATGGTGATCTTGAAGGTGGATAGTCTTCAGAATCCTGTATGTTGAGGATCGATTCTCCTAAACAAAATAAGTCAATGCAGTTATTTAATTATTATTACCATACTGCTCATTTAGTATTACTTATTGCATTCACTAACACTCAGTACTACTTCAAAGGTGAAATTGTGCAAGGAAGATCTGCCTATTTCAGCTGTTTGTTTTTTTTATCACAACTGCATCTAAAATTGATAGTACCATAGAGTAACAACTATATTTTTTGCTCAAACATGAGAATTCAAGAATAGTTCAGAAGGAAGACAGGCAGTCCTTAAGAAAGAAGTATGAAATAAAAAAAAAGTTTACAAACCTGAAGATTCTGCATGTTCAGACTTGTTCCTTTCATCATCTTCAATGCAGCTTCCTCTTGAGAAGGAACATGTCTCATGAATTGGAATTAATTTGCAGATTGGATACAATTAATTTAGGCTTGAATAGAGAGTGGGAATGGTTGAGTTATTATAAAAAGTAACCTATTTCCCCTTGTTTCTTCTCCCGCCCCCCCCCCCCGTTCCTCAGACGTTCTTGTTAAACCCTGGATTTGTGCTGGAAATGGCCCACCTTGATTATCATACACATTGTAAGGAGAGTGATCACTTTAGATAAGCTATTACCAGCAGGAGAGTGGGGTGGGGGGAGAGAAAACCTTTTGTAGTGATAAACACCCATTTTTTCATGGTTTGTGTGTATAAAAACATCTTCTGTATTTTCCACAGTCTGCATCCGATGAAGTGAACTGTAGCTCACAAAAGCTTATGCTCAGATAAATTGGTTAGTCTCTAAGGTGCCACAAGTACTCCTTTTCTTTTTGCGAATACAGACTAACACGGCTGTTAACCTTTTGTAGTGATAGGTTTCAGAGTAACAGTAAGAAACTACAGCATTTGCTCAAGAAACTCCCTGAAAAAGCACAAGATCAAATCCGCACAGACACACCCCTGAAACCCCGACCCGAGATATTCTGTCTACTACCCAAGATCCATAAACCTGGAAATCCTGGGCGCCCCATCATCTCAGGCATTGGCACCCTGACAGCAGGATTGTCTGGCTATGTAGACTCCCTCCTCAGGCCCTAGGCTACCAGCACTCCCAGCTACCTTCAAGACACCACTGACTTCCTGAGGAAACTACAATCCATCGGTGATCTTCCTGATAACACCATCCTGGCCACTATGGATGTAGAAGCCCTCTACACCAACATTCCACACAAAGATGGACTACAAGCCGTCAAGAACACTATCCCCGATAATGTCACGGCTAACCTAGTGGCTGAACTTTGTGACTTTGTCCTTACCCATAACTATTTTACATTTGGGGACAATGTATACCTTCAGATCAGCAGCACTGCTATGGGTACCCTCATGGCCCCACAGTATGCCAACATTTTTATGGCTGACTTAGAACAACACTTCCTCAGCTCTCGTCCCCTAACGCCCCTACTCTACTTGCGCTATATTGATGACATCTTCATCATCTGGACCCATGGAAAAGAAGCCCTTGAGGAATTCCACCATGATTTCAACAATTTCCATCCCACAATCAACCTCAGCCTGGTCCAGCCCACACAAGAGATCCACTTCTTGGACACTACAGTGCTAATAAACGATGATCACATAAACACCACCCTATACCGGAAACCTACTGACCGCTATTCCTACCTACATGCCTCCAGCTTTCATCCAGACCACACAACATGATCCATTGTCTACAGCCAAGTTCTGCGATACAGCCGCATTTGCTCCAACCCCTCAGACAGAGACAAACACCTACAAGATCTCTATCAAGCATTCTTACAACTATAATACCCACCTGCGGAAGTGAAGAAACAGATTGATAGAGCCAGAAGAGTTCCCAGAAGTTACCTACTACAGGACAGGCCTAACAAAGAAAATAACAGAATGCCACTAGCTGTCACCTTCAGCCCCCAACTAAAACCCCTTCGACCCATTATCAAGGATCTACAACCTATCCTGAAGGATGACCCAACACTCTCACAAATCTTGGGAGACAGGCCAGTCCTTGCTTACAGACAGCCCCCCAACCTGAAGCGAATACTCACCAGCAACCACATACCACACAACAGAACCACTAACCCAGGAACCTATCCTTGCAACAAAGCCCGTTGCCAACTGTGCCCACATATCTATTCAGGGGACACCATCATAGGGCCTAATCACATCAGCTACACTATCAGAGGCTCGTTCACCTGCACATCTACCAATGTGATATATGCCATCATGTGCCAGCAATGCCCCTCTGCCATGTACATTGGTCAAACTGGACAGTCTCTACGTAAAAGAATAAATGGACACAAATCCGATGTCAAGAATGATAACATTCATAAACCAGTCGGAGAACACTTCAATCTCTCTGGTCACGCGATTACAGACATGAAAGTTGCGATATTACAACAGAAAAACTTCAAAACCAGACTCCGAGAGACTGCTGAATTGGAATTAATTTGCAAATTGGATACAATTAACTTAGGTTACCTTGCATAATGACTTAGCCACTCCCAGTCTCTACTCAAGCCTATTTCCCCTTGTTTTTTCCTACCTTTCGCCCCCCCCCCCCCATTCCTCAGACGTTCTTGTTAAACCCTGGATTTGTGCTGGAAGTGGCCCACCTTCCTTATCGTGCACATTGTAAGGAGAGTGATCACTTTAGATAAGCTATTACCAGCAGGAGAGTGGGGTGGGGAGAGAGAAAACCTTTTGTAGTGATAAACACCCATTTTTTCATGGTTTGTGTGTATAAAAACATCTTCTGTATTTTCCACAGTATGCATCCGATGAAGTGAGCTGTAGCTCACGAAAGCTTATGCTCAAATAAATTGGTTAGTCTCTAAGGTGCCACAAGTACTCCTTTTCTTTTTGCGAATACAGACTAACACGGCTGTTACTCTGAAAGTTCCCATGATGTTGTTTCATTAGGGCAACCAGGCCTTGCATTCCTTTGTTGCACTGTTTGCATTTTGCACGCATGCCTGTCTTACCCACAGGTAGAGGAACTTCATTAAAATATTCCCAAACGGGGCCTCTTTTACAGCCTGCTGCCCTTATAGGTTTTTCCTTCCAGTGAGAGAATGGTATGGTAGATCTCTGATCAATGAAGGCTACACTCAGAAAGACCTCAAGACTTCTGGAATATGCTGCTCAAACAGTTTCACTTTTGTTTCTACTACCTGTACCTCCCTTCTCACATTTATTTATCTCCAGACTTCTTCTCCTTGTCCAGATCTATTTCACTCCCAACAATCTTCTATTCATTGAACTTTTTGAAACTTTGCACCTTTAGAGAGAGAGGTAAGGGGTTGACTCTGTGTACACACATTTGCAGAGGGACAATAGGGTTGAGGTCTGTTATTTCTCACCTCTATCTATCCTATCTATCTATCTATCTATCTATTAACATTTGTGCTGTTAACAAGCATATTATCTCTGGAGACACAAATCCATCGTTTGAGAACTGCAAAACTAAGCATCTCTGATAGTATCTTTTAGACTGAGCACTGAGTCCCATTGGGTAGATAGAAAGATTAACCTAAATAATCTATACTGAAGCCCTTGG